AAAAATATCTTAGCACCTTTTTGCCAAAATAATTAATTTGGGATAAAAAGTTCAGTTATAGAGTTTTGGAAGATCAGTGTAAATAGACAGGGTTACAGCTTTACAGTTCTATTATTTATTAAATAATATGTACTTAATATGCACCACTGTATATTATTTCATATAGCAACATAAAAATATAGTTAGGTCATCATATGATGTACAGACCTTAAAGCCTTTATGCCCTTTGCAATCTCATTGAATCCTAGTGAAAAAAGTGAGTAAAGTCAACCAACTGTTCACAGACAATCACATAAGAAACTGAGTAGAGAATTGATTTACTAATCAGACAAAAATATTCAAATAAATAAATAAATGAAGCATATTACAGCAGGTAATCTGAGGATGTAATAGGTTTTTGTTGGGTATAATGTCTGTGCTGAAATTCTTCAATGCCAGGTGTTATTATAACTATTCAGAAAGGAAACAGCTTTGGGGGAGAAAAATTTATACTGATTTAGTGGTACAAGTGAACTTAGTACTATTCTTTATTTGGTCTTGAAATATAAATGTGGGAAATACACATCAGAAAAAGTCTCTTAGGTTGATCTTTTGTAAATATGTAACATATTTCCAAAACAGTGAAGTTCACTAAGCCATAGTGTTTCTTCTTCAGTTAAACAGGTCTTTTCATACTCTGAAGGTTTAACATGCATGTGAATGGCACGGTTCTTACATACAACTCATTTTACACACAACTCTCCTGTTTTATGTCATGATCATCATGATTTTGAAACAGAATCAAAAGAATCTTCAATTCTATAAACAGGAGTTTAAAGACTCATTATTTTCTTCTTTGAAACGTGTCAATGCTCTAAAAGCATAGTGCTGAAAGGCTGCCAAGCTAATAGGCCAGCGAGCACTAGGAAGAGATTAATTTTATACCTGGAATGAGTGTATACAGTTTCCATTCCATTTAGTGGAAGGGCTGGAATGTGAACCAGTGTTTCCTTTATGGTGCAGTGTTATGTTAAACCCTGGGGTAAAGAGTCAGCCTCTACAACAGAGAGAGTCTGAATTCAGGACTGGGACCGCCTAGGGATGTTAGTGCACAAAAAGTAAATCGAAATGGGATGTTTGAGATGCATACTTGCATTTTTTCCCCCAGTGTTTTGTGCAATATTCATACTCCAAAATCAGTGTGAATATTTGGGGATGCAAATATGTTATGAACACTTCTGTTTACTTTGAAACATGCATATATTAAAATGGAGAGGTGTGTGCTAGCAACCATGATCTCCTCACTGGAGAGCTCTGTCTGAGGTGTAGCCAGAGTTGTAATCTCCAGGTGTGTTCTTTCTAGTTTTCAAAGGAGCCTGATCAATAAAAAGAAACTGAGTGAAGCCAAGGCAATGGATCTACTTCCACAAGCTTGGTTAGCCAGAAGTGATTAGTAGAGGATACTCAGAGTTCTAGACCAGTTTTGGAAACTTTCTGTAAAGGTTTTCAAAAAAAATTGTATTAAATTGGCTTTTGTTTTCTGATTGCTCACTGTTGACAGTTCAGAACCCCAGTAATGGATTTCTGAACCCTCTAAACAAACAAACAAACAAAAATCAACAAACCAGGCCTTTCTGATTCCTCATCCCATTAAGGTATTTGGTTCAATTCATTGTTGTACTTCCAGGATCTGTATAGAGGGCCATCCTGGCGTGATTCAAATTTTGTCATTCATTGTGAAGAAATGTAAGAGGACTGGGAGGGTGACATCTCTCCCATAACTTTTCTAGGGCAGCTGGAAAAGAAGGCAAGCAGTTCTGGCTTGAAGGACTTCAGTCTGGTTAACAGAGTGGGAAGAACAATGCTGAAGGAGGAATTTTTTCCTAAGGAGAACTGTGAGTAAATTGTATTCCTGAAAAATTTATCATTTCCTAGCTGACATCATTGGTCAGAAGTAAATGGCATAGGACATCCTGAATATTTGGAATGTTAAAGAATTTTCAGAAAGAGCAAAAGCATTATACAAGTTGCTCTGTTATGCTGCATGTCATTCAAAGTTACTGTTCCAGACAGAAACACAGTGAAGTAGGTGACCACACCTCAAGTTTTTGTGCGAAGAGGATCCGTTGAGTCATCCATTTTGTCCAAGAAAATATCCACAGGCAGCAGTTACAGCTGTTGATATAACATGGTCATACACCCAGAGACTTGCACGAGCAAACGAATTGACTGCTAAATCAGTAAACTGATAAAGCAGGGAAAGCCCATTTAAAAGTATTTGAGAGAAATGGCTGGGCCTAGTGGAGTGCTTAACATAACACTCAATTTCAAATACATAACCAAACTTCAGGGTTGATTTGTATATTTGGCTGAAGAAGAAATGTGAGGAACTGTACTCACAAAAAGTTTTGTCGAGAATCACTTGGAACTTTTTTCAGTCATATTACACAATGCTAACTGCAAACCTGGATAGAGTATTCCTTTTTTTTTTTTNAATAGTGACTCAGAGGTATGGGTCCTGTGGATCACTGTACATAAAACAGCGACTATTGCATGTTCATTGTGTGCCATATACAGAATATATTTGTCCATACTATATACACAAAACACAGGGAAAAAATATCTTAGCACCTTTTTGCCAAAATAATTAATTTGGGATAAAAAGTTCAGTTATAGAGTTTTGGAAGATCAGTGTAAATAGACAGGGTTACAGCTTTACAGTTCTATTATTTATTAAATAATATGTACTTAATATGCACCACTGTATATTATTTCATATAGCAACATAAAAATATAGTTAGGTCCTCATATGATGTACAGACCTTAAAGCCTTTATGCCCTTTGCAATCTCATTGAATCCTAGTGAAAAAAGTGAGTAAAGTCAACCAACTGTTCACAGATAATCACGTAAGAAACTGAGTATAGAATTGATTTACTAATCAGACAAAAATATTCAAATAAATAAATAAATGAAGCATATTACAGCAGGTAATCTGAGGATGTAATAGGTTTTTGTTGGGTATAATGTCTGTGCTGAAATTCTTCAATGCCAGGTGTTATTATAACTATTCAGAAAGGAAACAGCTTTGGGGGAGAAAAATTTATACTGATTTAGTGGTACAAGTGAACTTAGTACTATTCTTTATTTGGTCTTGAAATATAAATGTGGGAAATACACATCAGAAAAAGTCTCTTAGGTTGATCTTTTGTAAATATGTAACATATTACCAAAACAGTGAAGTTCACTAAGCCATAGTGTTTCTTCTTCAGTTAAACAGGTCTTTTCATACTCTGAAGGTTTAACATGCATGTGAATGGCACGGTTCTTACATACAACTCATTTTACACACAACTCTCCTGTTTTATGTCATGATCATCATGATTTTGAAACAGAATCAAAAGAATCTTCAGTTCTATAAACAGGAGTTTAAAGACTCATTATTTTCTTCTTTGAAACGTGTCAATGCTCTAAAAGCATAGTGCTGAAAGGCTGCCAAGCTAATAGGCCAGCGAGCACTAGGAAGAGATTAATTTTATACCTGGAATGAGTGTATACAGTTTCCATTCCATTTAGTGGAAGGGCTGGAATGTGAACCAGTGTTTCCTTTATGCTGCAGTGTTATGTTAAACCCTGGGGTAAAGAGTCAGCCTCTACAACAGAGAGAGTCTGAATTCAGGACTGGGACCGCCTAGGGATGTTAGTGCACAAAAAGTAAATCGAAATGGGATGTTTGAGATGCATACTTGCATTTTTTCCCCCAGTGTTTTGTGCAATATTCATACTCCAAAATCAGTGTGAATATTTGGGAATGCAAATATGTTATGAACACTTCTGTTTACTTTGAAACATGCATATATTAAAATGGAGAGGTGTGTGCTAGCAACCATGATCTCCTCACTGGAGAGCTCTGTCTGAGGTGTAGCCAGAGTTGTAATCTCCAGGTGTGTTCTTTCTAGTTTTCAAAGGAGCCTGATCAATAAAAAGAAACTGAGTGAAGCCAAGGCAATGGATCTACTTCCACAAGCTTGGTTAGCCAGAAGTGATTAGTAGAGGATACTCAGAGTTCTAGACCAGTTTTGGAAACTTTCTTTAAAGGTTTTCAAAAAAATTGTATTAAATTGGCTTTTGTTTTCTGGTTGCTCACTGTTGACAGTTCAGAACCCCAGTAATGGATTTCTGAACCCTCTAAACAAACAAACAAACAAAAATCAACAAACCAGGCCTTTCTGATTCCTCATCCCATTAAGGTATTTGGTTCAATTCATTGTTGTACTTCCAGGATCTGTATAGAGGGCCATCCTGGCGTGATTCAAATTTTGTCATTCATTGTGAAGAAATGTAAGAGGACTGGGAGGGTGACATCTCTCCCATAACTTTTCTAGGGCAGTTGGAAAAGAAGGCAAGCAGTTCTGGCTTGAAGGACTTCAGTCTGGTTAACAGAGTGGGAAGAACAATGCTGAAGGACGAATTTTTTCCTAAGGAGAACTGTGAGTAAATTGTATTCCTGAAAAATTTATCATTTCCTAGCTGACATCATTGGTCAGAAGTAAATGGCATAGGACATCCTGAATATTTGGAATGTTAAAGAATTTTCAATAAGAGCAAAAGCATTATACAAGTTGCTCTGTTATGCTGCATGTCATTCAAAGTTACTGTTCCAGACAGAAACACAGTGAAGTAGGTGACCACACCTCAAGCTTTTGTGCGAAGAGGATCCACTGAGTCATCCATTTTGTCCAAGAAAATATCCACAGGCAGCAGTTACAGCTGTTGATATAACATGGTCATACACCCAGAGACTTGCATGAGCAAACGAATTGACTGCTAAATCAGTAAACTGATAAAGCAGGGAAAGCCCATTTAAAAGTATTTGAGAGAAATGGCTGGGCCTAGTGGAGTGCTTAACATAACACTCAATTTCAAATACATAACCAAACTTCAGGGTTGATTTGTATATTTGGCTGAGGAAGAAATGTGAGGAACTGTACTCACAAAAAGTTTTGGCGAGAATCACTTGGAACTTTTTTCAGTCATATTACACAATGCTAACTGCAAACCTGGATAGAGTATTCCTTTTTTTTTTTTTTTTTTCAGGATCTTTGAACCTTAAGTAAGACTAAATACAACTTTGAAGTAAAACCACATAGGCTTATGAAACTTAAGGCCAGAGGTTTCATTAGCTTATGTTGTTCCAACTTCAACCAAGATCATTGCCTTTTATTCTCACTCTTGTGTGTAATCCATTAATACACTTCCATTGGAGACCCCAGCAGCCAAGGAGATGTTCTGGACCCTGGATCACATTTTTTTTCTGACTCCTTTCACCCTCAGGTTGTTTTCTGTTCTTCAGCTGTGATGTCTTCATCACAGTCACTAAGATGCTACCATGCACTGCATATGGGAGAAGCAACATTTGCCCCCAGTTTGTTTAGGACTGCATTAGAAAAAAGAGGAGTTGTGCTTACCAAAAGAATAAAAGGAACAGGGGTAGTTCTCTTGTGAAAATCAGTTAGGCTTGTCATGTAATAATTATTGTATTGTAACCTTATAATAAACTTTAGCCATAGCATTTAATAAACAAAGCTTGTAAATTATTTGCATTCTAAAATCTTTGGAAAATGCCTTCAAGAGCAATCACAGTTCTGACCACTGGGGGAAAAAAAAAAATCAAGTGATCCGTACCAGCTGCACATTTTTGCTGAGCCACTGAAGAGTCTCCCTGCATGAATCTTTGGTAGAGGTAGGATTTTTATCATGTGTCAGTATATAAATTCAATAAAATGAACAGCATCTCTCTCTTTTTCTTTAGTAAAAAATTTGACTAATGCCACGGTGACCTCATGCAGCTATGTTTTAAGCTTTTGGCATTTTGGCTCACCACAGCTAGTAGATAAGAAGGATACATGTCCAGCTGTAAAGAAATAAACAATCTAATCATACTGCTGAAAATGATATGGTGCTGTTTCACCTCCAGTTCATCTTGTTTCCTCTTGTACCTTTATTACAGGGTGAACATGCAAGGTTATGTTATCATTCAACCAAACAACAGATCAGTAATGCCATGCCAGCTACAGAGGCTCTGTCTGAAACCACCTGAGAGATTCTTCTCTCTGTGAGTGGCAATGGTAAAATCAGGAATCCTTGAAACAATGAATTCTTGGTTTGTCACTCAGTGGTTGGCAGTTGGAATGCTGCATGATACCACGGACTATATAAAGTACAGAAAAAAAGTGGCATAACAAAGAATATTAATGAATGCTACTTTTTATTAGGATGTATTAATATATGTTTTTGAAGGATATTAATTTGGTTGGGGTAGTGCCAATATGTATCAATCCAGAGACAGTAGCAGGAGGCATTTTGCATGTAAGCTGCTGACTGTATTGATCAGTTTTGTGGACAACAGGTCCATGGCTCTGTTCCTTTCTACTGGCAATCTCTGGAATAAGCATAGCAAGGAAAAAGTACTCTGGAATTTTTTGTTCTTCTGGTTATATAAAACAACTGAGACTCCTTGTGGGCGCCTCTCTGCTCAGGCAGTCAGAGAGCTCCTTCAGAGCTGACCAGTGGTCAGTGTACCTCCAGTGTTTTAAAAGAGGAAAGAAAGTTTGAGTCATCATGACATGATAGCTCATGTAACACTTTTTGAGGCAAATGAGGACTTTTCTGACTCAGTTACAGCTTCACAAGCAGTGTATGTCAAGCCCTCACAAATTATATGCTCTTCTGTATCATTATTTTCTTTCACTTTGAGATTCCTTTAATAAAGATCTTAACGTGTGGAATTACAGACCAGTTAGGCTAATTTCATCAGTAGGAATGACATTTGAAAGAATTTTAACAGATTAGGAGAAGGAGTATCTAGTAAAAGCATCCTTCAGCCTGATTAGTTGT